TTGAGAGTTGATCTGAATATGACCTTAGTAATGTTCATATTCATACTGGAAATTTATAGTTTTATCAACACACAACAAATTTATATGCTCTGCTTGAAAATACTTTTTGTCAACTAGGAATTTTATATATATGCTTATTTAAATGCAGAAAGTTTTTAAAATAATAATCAAACAATAACTTCAATAGTTTTATACCCTTTAGGAAGCAACCATTTTTTCTTGTAAACGCTTTGTTTCAATATAAATCATTTAACACTTATTGAAGATAAAAAAATTATTTCTAAATATGAACTGATTAATAATTTGTTTCTTATGTTTAAGGCAATGATTATCTTAGTCATCCATTAACCTAGGTATTCTAGTATTTGGTAATATATTAGTATGAAAGACAATATGATCATAGATTTAAGTACAATTTGAATTATATCATAAATGTGATGAGAAATTTTTGAGGCACAACAATTGGATTTCATGGAATACATGTTCTTCATAATTTTTCTGAAGGAGCCATAAAGGTAGACAAAGTGTCAAGGTTATTTTTTGTCTTCCCATCTTGAAAACATCCTTTTAAATATTCATGAAGAAACCAGTATAAACTATAAATAGCAAATGCCTACGGGTAAGGTGAGATAAATAAATCATATGAACTCAAAAATAAAGGATTTCAGTAATAGGCTCACTGAATAAGTACTAGAACATATTTATTTCTGTGCAAAATGGGCTGATAAATAAGTTGAAAATATGGATGCATTAGGGCTGGGCGGACAATTTAGTAGAACATGAACTTTAGTCAAAATATGATCACTGGCGAAATAAAGTATTAACTAAATCCCCACTGACATTTTTGAATAAAATAAAAAGCAAGTGTAAAAAAACCTACAACTAATCATACATTCCTATGTTGCCTTATATATTACTTTCCTTGAAAAGCTCAAATTGTCTCACTAAGAAATTATAGTTTTGAAAGCCTCATTTATTTCATATTTTTCTTATTTTTTAAAACAACAGATGTTTTTGTTATACTAGTTGTACATTTTTATAGAAAAATAGAGCAACAAATACAATTCCCTCTATACCACCTCACCTTTACACTTTTCCCTTATTACTAACATTTCATGTGATTGCAGAGCATCAGTTACCATTACACTAAAGTCCATGGTTCATATCAGTGACGCATAGTTCTATGCTTTTGCCAAATGTTCTGCTTCACTAGAATATTACGATACTTTCCCTGTCTGGAAACTCCCTTATGCTCCACCTATTCACCCACCCTACAGTCTCTCCTCTCTAACCATGCCAACAACTGATTTTTTGTTGCTGGTGGTGGTAGTAGCTATGGGGCTTGAACTCAGGGCCTGGGCACTGTCTCTAAGCTCTTTCACTCAAGGCTAGTGATCTACCACGTTAAACTACAACTCCACTTTTGGTTTTCTCGTAGTTAATTGGAGATAAGAGTCTCATGGAGTTTCCTTCCTGGGCTGGATTTGAAGCGTGATCCTCAGTTCTTAGCCTCCTCAGTAGCTAGAATTACAGACATGAGCCACCAGCTCCCAGCCCAACCACTGATCTTTACACTTCTCCCAACCACTAATGTTTACACTTCTCTGTGGTTGGGCCAGTTCCAGAATGTCAGTCTTGAGATTGCACACTGTGTAGCTGTGCCAGTCTGGCTTCATTCATTTAGCAATGTGCATATAATATTCCTGTGGGATCTTTCATTATGTATTATCTCTTTTATCACTGAATAATCATCCATTTTCTGTACACACCACTTTGTCTTTGAATCTCTTATGTCTAGACATCTCATTTTCCCCCATGTTTTCTAAATTATTTTTTTAATTATAAGAACTATACATTTGAAGTCAAACCATCTATTGACCCAAGGTTTTTCTCAGGACAGAGCTGTTGAGAATGTGAAACAGTTTTCTTTCTCTTTATTCTATTTCTCTTCCATGAAATTCAAAGGCTAAAAGTTGTCTGGCAAGGAGGCATATCCTTCTTAGAAGCAGTCTCAAAGTAATGCTTCTTAAAACATACAAAATATAGCTTCTATATTAGAATTATCAGTGATGTCAGTTAAAATTCAGATTACTGGACTTGATCTTCTGAATCAGAATTTCTAGGAATAGAACTCAGTTTAGTATTGGTTGAGTTTATTTTCCTACCTTCCCTCTTTCCCTTCCTTCCTTCCCTTCCTTCCTTCCTTCCTTCTTTCCTTCCTTCCTTCTTCTTTCCTTCCTTCCTTCCTTCCTTCCTTCCTTCCTTCCTTCCTTCCTTCCTTCCTTCCTTCCTTCCTTCCTTCCTTCCTTCCTTCCTTCCTTCCTTCCTTCTTTCTGCAAAGCCCTCATGTGGTATTGTTTCACTAAAGTTTGAAAAGATGGCCAGGTTTGCACCTACATTTTGTTTTTGATACCCCATGATGTAACATACTTTCTGAACTTCTGAAAGTGCCAAAGTTACAAAACTGGCAAGAGGATAAAATATGGGCAAGCAAAAATTTTTTAATCTAATCTTTTACAGGACAATATTGAGTAGTGTGGAAAATATTTCTATGTTCCGTCCCTCCAGCATACTTTGAGAAAGAAAAGAAAGATTTTTGTCTCATATCATTTACTTTCTATTATAGTTTTTTTTTTTCATTCTCCCAAAACTGGCTAGAATAACCCCACTTCTCTCATCCCATTACCTAGACTTGAATTCTTTGAAGAGGCTCATAGAGATTGTTCAATTAGAACTCGGGAATTGTAGTATGAGAATGGTTAATATTGCAAGTAATTATTGACATTATCACTATTGGTATTTTGCTGTGTTGCTATCTTCTCTTTTCATTTATTTCAGTAGTGTTTATTGCTTTAGGGCATGGGAGAATTCAACTGAGTTGCTGACTAGATTTTCAAACTGTTAGCAGAAAAAGTAGTTTTCAAAGGGGCAAAGCTTTCATTTGTTAGGTCAAGCCTTTTGCAGAAAATAAAGGTATTTTTGAAAAATCAAAAGAAAAAACCTTAAGTAGTGCATCAAATTTGGGACCCAGGCAAGAAATTAGAAATAATGTTAACAAAAACTGACTTTCCCTTCATAAATGTGGACATAAACATACTCAGGAACACACACACACACACACACACACACACACACACACACACACACACACACCCTTCACATAATGCATACATATAGTCACACACATACACATTAATAGAATATCTGAAATGATAGAGATGGGAATAAAACTAATCAAGAAAGTCTGGTGTCGGTGGCTCACACCTGTAATCCTAGCTACTCAGGAGGCTGAGATATGAGGATCACAGTTCAAAGCCAGCCCAGACAGGAAAGTCCATAAGTCTCTTATCTCCAATAAACCACTCAGAAAACCGGAAGTGCTGCTGTGGATCAAGTGGTAGAGCACTTGCCTTGATCTGAAGAGCTGAGGGATAGTGCCCAGGCCCAGAGTTCAAGCCCCAAACCGCCAAAAAACAAACAAACAAACAAATTTGGCTATTCTCAGGAGGCTGACAGCCCTGTTCCTATGCCTAGATAGACAAAGTAATGTGCGTCTCTCACCTCAGGTATGCAGAAAGGGCAAACAGGAGTACTGCAGTTATAGCTGGCCTACTCAAAACCATAAGGCATTATTTTATGCACCAAACATATAAGCAAACAAAAATGGGCTGGAGGGAGGTGTGGCTAAGTGATAGAACACCCACATAGCAAGCATCAAGCCCTGAATTCTAACTTAAACACCACAAATAGATAAAATAAAAATAAATAGAAAGTCTTGACAGATATGCACCAATAAGAAGAGACAAGGAAATAAGTGTAGCCAAGCAAAGACAGAGATGTCTATGATGTCAAATAGCTATTTTTTTTCCAGCTATAGCTTACCATCATGGAAGACAACTGGTATGAAATTGGATCTCTTTTGTTGAGAAGGGATCAGAAATCTTGGAATGTGTCTTGTTTTTAATTTAAAAAGTTATTAAAATATTGAAATTGTAGTAAGTACAAAATCCATACTTATTTACATTAAAGGTATGTCTTCTGGAAGTGAATATCAAGATTGAAATCTATACCTCCTAGAAATAATAGAATATTTAGAAAGAATGTGCAACTAAGTATCTGATAATTTCTTTGTTGCTTTTTTTCATTTATTGTACATCATATACATGTTCACTTATGTCAAGCCACTCTAGATTTTCTCATTTTTAACATGAGAGTAATCTCAACCTTACAAAAGGGAATGAGATAATCAAGACAAACAGATGTAAAGCTCTGAGGCTAATGTCTAGAATATGGCAAAATTCAATCTTTTTGATCCTCAATGTTTTTATTAATATTGTTTTCTAAGTTGCCATTTGTAAAACCTAATATTTAGGTTCTTATTTATGAATCTTATGGTCAGAAAAATCACCTAGGATAATCATAGATTTTTTTTTTACAACATAGACTATATATCATTAAGAATTTGTTGCTACAAGTAATAGTTTTATAGCTCTTACACGGGCAAATGTTTTTACTCATCCCTTTAGTTATACACTATATGATATGGGTTTCTGGCATTTATTTGTATAGACAGATTCTATAAGCACTCACTCTTTTGCAAATGCTTTTATTTTAGCTGAGGAAAAAAGTTCCTGAAAGAAAATATAAATAGTTTCAACAGCTTTTAGAGAAGCTTGCGTATCTCTACATGATCTATTAAACAAAGGCCCATGAAAATACATCTGGGTAGGTAATCAATTGATGGAAGTAAATCATTTTATTGAAACAGTGCTAGTTATTTTTTATGCAGCTCTTTACATCAGACTGATGAGGTTCCTTTATGTGCTCACCCTTGAAAGCAGGACTATTCTGTTCTTTGTTATTGTTGCATGACATTCCATTTGGTAGTTGGCTTATTTTTAGCCAGACTATCAAAGTATTTTTCAACTAGTCTGTTACAGTACTTGAAGTTGGAATCTTGTAAAGTGAAGAACTGCATGGGGGAAAGGAAAAATCTACAAATGGGAAATTACAAATCTAGACCAACCCAAACTTGCACTGGTAATTATTCTTACTTCCTTAAATGTTGTTTGCTTTACTTGTAGTGAAAAAATAACTAATAATTCACTGTGTATGAAATTTAAGAAATATTGTAGAGCTTATCTGAACCCAATTTTCTCTGAAAGATTTTTACAACATATACTATATCATACAAAATATTGTTTTAATTCCTTGGCAAAGTGTTATAGAAAAACTTGGAGTACTGCTGAATATAGAGATTTTAGAATTGAATCTTAAGTATCTATCTAGCATTTACAACCTAAAACACTGTCTAGCAATTAGAGATTGCTGTAATTAAAATACAATAAAATCAAATGAAATAAGTCAAATATATTCTTCTATGTAAATATATTTTACAATGTCAAATGGGTTCTTAATTACTACAATTCATATGATTGCATTTTAAAGATAAACATCTGTATTTAAACCCACAATCAGTAATTTAAATTAAGTATTGTAGAATCTGGAATAAAAAACAGTTTTGATTACTTGAATGTTGTTATCTATGTCTACATTTTACATAATACAACTCTGAATCAATTCCATTTGTTTTTCTTTGCTAGATGAGTGGAAGAAGAAAGTCAGTGAATCTTACATTATTATAATAGAAAGATTACAAGATGACCTGCAGATCAAGGAAAAAGAATTAACAGAACTACCGCATGTATTTGGGTAAATTTGACAAAATTATTCATTCTACATAAATCTTCATCATCCACCTTGTTTTCAACCTCTGTGTATGTGTAGATAGATGTCAATAACACCTTGGATATAACTAGTCATATTCCAAGTCTTAGAATGTCAATTTGTTGCTTCTTCTTCACTCACATAGCTCTCAAAATGAAATAGCTCACATTCTTAAAATGTGACTTGCATACTTTCTCACTAAAGGAAGAACAGAACCTACGGGATAGACTTTGAGTGCAAGCTGTCATTGCTGTTCATAATCTTCTGTGAAATTAGATCATTTTTATAATTATTTTTTCATTATTTATCATTATTTTTCATTATTTATCATTATTTTTATAATTATTAAATAGCATATATAATTGAGGTAGCGTATTGACCATATTGTTCTCTTTAGACAATGAGAGTAAGTCCAGTTTTAACAGATGCTCTGGCCCTGTCACCTTGAAAGGCTACCCTTAATGGAACACTGATTCTACACCTGAATACTCCTATAGCAACATGTAATATTGGCTTCAGGCTTTTAGTGGGGTTTGTTTTATAATAACAAGAGAAAAATGATCTAGGACAGTGTTACAACTTCTGAAGATACAAAATGTGCAGAAAAAAGGGCCAGGAGAGATGTTCTTTCACTTTTTAGCAAGGACGAAAAAGGAGCTAAGACAGTGGCTGGGAAGGTGGTTCCGTGGTAGAGCGCTTGCCTTGCATGCCTGAGGCCCTGGGTTCCATTCCTCAGCACCACATAAGCAGAAAATCTGCAAGTGACACTATGGCTCAAGTGCTAGAGCTGAAGAACTCAGGGATATAGCACCCAGGCCCAAAGTTCAGGCCCCACAAAAGACAAAAACAAACACACACAAAGGGGCTAAGGCTGATGCCTGGAATTTTTTTGTTTGTTTTGTTTATTTAACCAAGAGGTTTTGCCCTTTAGCAATAATTTTGTTCTGTTTTCTGATTTCACATATTTGTTCTCATGGATATCCTTCCTTTCCAAGGGAAAGGGGGCTTAGGGAAGAGAGTAAATTTCTAACAGCAGGAGGGACTGAGGCCAGACAATAGGAGGAACTTTCTGCAAATGAATAGCAACTCAGATACCACAGTTATGTTATTCATGTAACACACTCATACCACAAAAGTCCTTCTAGTTTATATGGAAGAAACAAATGTTAACTAATATACAAACCACATATTTACCAAATAAATTTTAGATATAGTCAATGTAAAAATTTCACATAATTAGCAAATAAAATTATCTCACAATTCTATAGTTTATTTGAAATATATCAGTAGAACTAATAAGACCTTCATAAGTATTCATTTATGCTTTCAGAAATACTTAAGTTTGTCCATTTGTCCACAAATGGCACTAAAATTAGGGATGAGATACTAGTAGAATAACATTTTTTTTCAAATGACACATTATACTCGATTCAGGTAAATATTTAAAATTTTTATAGAATTGTGACTAGAGTTATATACTTGTATATTTGTTTTGTTTGAAAATTATTATAAATATAGAATTTAAACACAAGTCATAAAACTATTAGTGGGTCAAATAAATATGCTGAATGAAATGGAATTACATTTTTTAAAATCATCAATTTTATAAAGTCAAAGCATCATTTATGTACTATTATTTTTAATTTAGAAAGTTTGTGGCAGATATTTCAAGCTATGTTAAACTAGTCATATACTTTCAAGGATTAAGCTTAAAACTGGACTTGAGATAGATGTTTTTCTCTGACCTCATAAACTACCAGCTGTTTTGCTGTACTAGGAATTGAACATAGGGCCTCATACATGTTAAACAGGAGCTCTTGAGACGTATCCCCATCTTTTTCTTCCTTCCTTCCTTCCTTCCTTCCTTCCTTCCTTCTTTCTCTTTCTTTCTTTCTTTCTTTCTTTCTTTCTTTCTTTCTTTCTTTCTTTCTTTCTTTCTTTCTTTCTTTCTTTCTTTCTTTCTTTCTTTCTTTCTTTCTTTCTTTCTTTCTTTCTTTCTTTCTTTCTTTCTTTCTTTCTTTCTTTCTTTCTTTCTTCTCTTTCTTTTAAATTTGAGACAGCATCACTTATTTTTTTCCTTAGCTGGCCTCAACCTTACAGCCATTCTGCTTTCTTCTTCTGAAAAGATGGTTAGGCATACCCCACTACACTTGACTACCAGAACTTTTCTGTGTTTGTTTGTTGTTGTTATTATAATTCACCTTTTTTCTATAATTATCTTATATTAGTTATACCGTGGTAGTGTGGGTTCATTGGTAGATTTCCATACATGTTTAAACTGAGTTCCAATCTATCTCCGTGTTTGTTTGTTGTTGTTATGATTCACCTTTTTTCTATAATTATCTTATATTAGTTATACCGTGGTAGTGTGGGTTCATTGGTAGATTTCCATACATGTTTAAACTGAGTTCCAATCTATCTCCGTGTTTGTTTGTTGTTGTTATGATTCACCTTTTTTCTATAATTATCTTATATTAGTTATACAGTGGTAGTGTGGGTTCATTGGTAGATTTCCATACATGTTTAAACTGAGTTCCAATCTGTCTCCGTGTTTGTTTGTTGTTGTTATAATTCACCTTTTTTGTATAATTATCTTATATTAGTTATAGGGTGGTAGTGTGGGTTCATTGGTAGATTTCCATACATGTTTAAACTGAATTCCAATCTGTCTCCTTCCTTCTATCACTCCCCACACTCCCCTATTAAGCATTTCTAACAGGATCCTTTTCCCATTTTCATATGTATTAATAATATATTTTAACACAATTCAACCTCTCTTTTCCTCCCCACTACTAAGCCCTTCTCAGTAGACAGCACTCATTGAACAGAAGCATTTCTCTTTCCTTGCCTACCAAAGGTTTTAACAATACTATTCTAGTGGATTTTTTTCTTACGTATTTAGTAAATGCACCAATGTGAACATTTTGGATAGTGGAAGTGACAGGTAGAAACCAATGTTACAGAACTTACCGTCACAATTTTGAGGTCCAGCTATATTCAAGCTATTGTATGTAAGACCTAATTTGATCTTAACAATGATAATATTTGGTGAATAATACTAATTGTGGTAGATAATAAGCTAAAAAATGTGAGCTGTCAAGATCACATAGTCAGTAAATACTAGAATGTGATTTGTTTTTTTTTTACTTTTTTATTTTATTTATTTATTTATTTTTATTGTGAAAATACTGTACAGAGGGGTTACAATTACATGGGCAAGATAGTGAGTACATTTCTTATCAAGCATTGTAGCCTCCTCCTTTGTTTACCCTTCCCATCGCTTCCCAGCTTCCCCCCGCCCCCCCACCCAATCCCCCCACACACACCAAAGTTGTAAAGTTCGTTTTCGACATGACAACTTGTTAGAATGTGATTTGTAAGATCTGTCTCATTCCAAAGAGAGAGCACTTCTTGGTTCAAAACTGACAATTTAATGAAGTAGAGATTCTAAAATATATAAATAAACTCAGAAGTAGACAATCTATTACAGGTGCTAATTGTAAGAACAAAACACAATTGTTTTCTTTTCTTTTTCTTTTTTTCTTTTTGTTGGATGAGGGGCTTGAACTCTGGGCATGAGCACTATCCCTGAGCTCTTCAGCTCAAGGCTAGCACTCTACACTTGAGCCACAGAGCCACTTCCATTTTTCTGGTGGTTTATTGGAGATAAGAGTCTCAGGGATGACCCTGCCCTGGCTGGCTTTGAACCATGATCCTTAGATCTCAGCCTCCACAGTAGCTATGAGTACAAGCATGAGATACCAATACCAGCTAACACAATAGTTTTCAAATACAGAAAGGAAGGAGATGTGTCTCATGATCTATTCATTGATTTTCAAAAACAGAAGAGAAAACATGAGAGAATGGATGGGTAACAGTGAGAAAGTGCAGGAGAAGTAAAAAACAGTATCCACAAAATTATATGCATTGGATTCTTGGATAAGAAAATTCTATTCGAGTAACTGTTTTGGAGGACTATGAATATGAACATGGTTTTTAATTCATATGAGATCTGTGTGTGGGTGTATCCTTAGGTATGTCTGTTAGATAACTTGAACCTCATTTGCATCTACGAATGAAGTAAAATATAACTATTTTTCATGATTGTTGCAAAATAATGTAAAAAATGCTGAGTATAGGGTCTAAATCATAATGGGGTTTGGGTAATTGGACATTTCTATTTTTAAATTGTTTTATTTTTTATTTTTGCTGGTCCTGGGCCTTGAACTCTGGGCCTGGGCACCATCCCTGAGCTCCTTTTTGCTCAAGGTTGCTAGCACTCTATCACTTGAGCTACAATGCTGCTTGTTGCTTCCAGCTTTTTCTGTGATTAATTGGATATAAAAGTCTCATGGACTTTCCTGCCCAGGCTGGCTTTGAAACACAATCCTCAGATCTCAGTCTCTGAGCAGGGATTTTTTTTTTTGACTGACTGGGTAAATGAAGACAACATGAAAGACAAAAGACTATATTATTGATTATGCATTATAAATACTTCACTATCATTTGGAAAATGAAAAGGTAAGATAAAATTGTTATCTAAAGAAAATATTTTCGAAAAGCCGGGCGCCAGTGGCTCACACCTGTAATCCTAGCTACTCAGGAGGCTGAGATCTGAGGATCACGGTTCAAAGCCAGCCTGGGCAAGAAAGTCTTTGAGACTCTTATCTCCAATAAACCACCAGAAAACCAGAAGTGGCACTGTGGCTCAAGTGGTAGAGTACTCGCCTTGAACTGAAGAGTGCAGGAACAGCACCCAGGCCCAGAGTTCAAGCACCATAACCAACCAAAAAAAGAAAAAGAAAATATTTTTGAAATTAAAAATATGTAATGTTTTGATAATTCAACACGATAATAAAATCTGAAAGAAATTTTAAAGATTTTGATTGGAATTTCATAAAACTTGAGACTATTATAAGGCTTATCAAAATAATAAATTTCTTGAAAACAATGGTTGGTCGTTTTGTGAAGACCGGTAGCCTGAT